GGTGGTTTTAAGGCATCAACGACTTCATCTACAACAGTTACATTTTACTTTGATATATTTTAGAACAAAACAATAATAAAATCATTTCTGGGTTAATTTGTTTTCTATTATGTAAAATCATTTCTAGGTTATTGCTGGTTAAACTCATGGACTCCTGAGGATCAAACAAATCCTCCCCTTCTTCAATCTCCAAATCAACTGCAACATCCACCTTTGATGAATCCCCGGCCCCATCAAACCCATCATTCGAATTACAGCTCCCCGGCTTATCATCGTGGAAACCATTCACAACCGCATCATCACAAGGATTGGAGACCATTGGAGGAACAGTAACGTCCTTTGAACCTACAACCTCGCTATCGACGTTTTTGCTCATTTGCATCAACCTTCACTTCCTCTGTAGCTTATTTCACTGATGCATCAATCATCCTGATAACCGGTCTTGAGAAGTCGAGGCCCATGTCTTTTGTGATTAACAATGTATGGGGAAGGAGTAAAAGACGATGGAGAATCTAGAAGAGGAGTTACCTCAGGAGTAGCATAGGGACTCGRMGATGGCCGGTGAATTGTCTTTTTTGTGGATGGCTTTCGGCTCTGCAGCTTCGAATTAAGAAGTTTGGGAACGGATTTTGGAGCCCCAGGTTCTAACAACCAATCTAAAGTAATCACCGTAAACGTCGGCGGCATGGCTTTGCACCAATACACGTTAGGAATAGCTTAAAAGAGTAATATTTGAATCAGAAGAAGCTATATTGACARAGCCGTTGCAGATGAAGCYGTAGAAGCACAAAGTTGCAGATGAAGCCGTTGATACCTTTTGTCTTTCGGGGTTTCAGTTGCAAATGAGCCATCACAGGGAGAAAAGCACTAAATCTTTGTTGCTAGTCATCGGAAGAAGTTTGCTAGTCATCGGAAGAAGTTTGCTTTCGCCGATTGGAGAAGATAGCAGAATGAAAGGTTTGGATGGAGAATGGAGAGACGCGGGAAAGAAAAGAATGAAAGGTTTTTTCACAAAAATACTTTGAATGAGGGTTTGACTAATGGCGTTCATGATAAATGCCCGTTTACCATCCCCACATGAATGAGGAATGCACACACGCTTATGGATGCGTGTAATTCTCTCATAATGTTTGAACGGTGTTCGAACCCATCAAGCTTTGACTGAAGCCGAACCCCTAGAACTTATASTTGGTCAGATTTATTAGATTTTATATGCTCAACTGTTGCAAGGTTTATCTCTTTATAGGACTCCCCAATGAAATAAGTTGAATGAATTAGCCCTATGGCTTTTATTTAAAAAAGATAACTGGTTACATAAACCTGTGAGACGTTGGCATAACCCAAAAAAAGACATTGGATTTATATAACTTGGACTAACTGAAGTCAATTATCCATTTAAGCAAAAGTATTTACAAACAATTAAAAAAATGAAGTCTTTTAGAATAATAGCATTTAAGAACATTTGAGATTCAAATAGCAATTAAAGGTGTGTACATTAATTAAGTATTAAATTAGTAATTGATGAAAGGAAAAGTAGGCAAAAGGAAAACACAAGAAAGTTTTGGAATATTAAAGCCCAAAGCGAGCCCCATACCCATATGGTGACCTATTAACAAAAAGTCCATTATCACATATCCATCAAACTCGTTATGGAGGATAAGGTTTTTCAAATCGAATCAAATAATGAACCAGTCAAGGGTCCGGCTCTCGGATCAAATAGTCTAACCGTTTAAATCGAATATATGGTYCATTTTGATAAAAAATAAATAAATAAATAAATAACGGCCAAACTTCAGCGGTTTACTGACCAAATCAACGGTTTTTGGTGAAATAATTGTTCTGCATGAGATAAAATGGAACCAATCACCTGATCAGTTCCTAATTTTTTCGGTCCGATCCAGTTTTGAAAACCATGAGAAAAGGGTACTAACCCATATTTCCTCTCTCTCCCCCTTTTCCCTCCTGAGAATCACTAATCTCTCCAACCGCCATTCTCCGGAATTTTGGAGTCAGATCATCACCACCAGCTCACTAGAGCCAGTCGGTTTTCAAAGAATCTCAATCTCCAAAGGAGGGGGAGGGGGTGTGAAAAAAATCTGTTCGTGATTTGATCTGTGGTACAGTCTCTTCAACCCTAACTTCCTGCTCGATCATAAAATTTCCAACCAGCCCGAGAAAGAGTCTTCAAGACCACCAAAATTGTCGAATGTTGAGATCTGACACTTAGAAAAGTGTAGCATACTGAATTGAAATGCTGAGAGGCCACAACCCACCGGATTTGTGTGATCTTGGAAGGCTAAGATGTCACAATCTTCTCACCAGCATCATCTTTTTCCCTTATTGTSTATCAAGTATCGATTAGGCTTCTTGGTGCTACCTCTCTCAAAGGGCTTTAAATTCATGGTGTGTCATAGGATTTGGATTTAAGAAAAAGTAGTTTTTTCAATTGATGGATCAAACATCTGATCAAGATTCATTGCAAAGTCGAGGAAGTTCTTCATCAAGGGCATCATTGTCACCACAATCCATTGGATTGGGTTGTTATGATGAACCGGTCACTAACTTGGGCCTTTAACCTAGGAGATCGGATTGTTGTCACCCAGGAAAACCTTTAGTTGCTCACTATCTGGGCAAGAATTCCTGCCCAGAGTGCATAGCTTTGTGCCACATTGAAGCTAGTAATAGGCCCAACAAAAGCAGGCGTTAGTTTCTATTTTTTGTTTTTTTTTTTTTTTTTTATTTAAGTTTACAAGTTAGACTTAGGGCAGGGAAATGTGGTAACCTCACAAAACCCCTTTTTGCTTTTTCATTTTCTTCTCTCCGAAATCCCACCCTCTTCCCCCATTGTTTCACCGAGTTTGGATCACCTGCCAATAAAATATATTCCAACATGATCTGATACCGCACATGTCAGCACGAGACTGGGATTCGATGTAAAAGTAGGACCCTTATGTCAAATCATGTTAGGAGGGTGTTGGAACATCTTTTGTTGATAGGTAATCCCAACTTTGTTTCACCGAAGGTAAAGACCTTGCCATTCGCCCTGTTTTCCGTTTCCTTTTGCTGGTCACCATTACTAAATATACTCTACTCATCAGTGGCAGTTATTATGATTTTTAGAGGTAAAATACAATTGTTCAAAAACAGTTGCAAAGTGCTGTAGGTAAGAGATGATTACTTTATAAGTAGAATGAAATGTAATTGAATATGATGGATCGGTAAGAGACAATTATTATTCTAAACAATTGCAGATATAATTACTCTAAATCCAATGTATCTGTTAACTTCGCTAATGACTATACTAATTTTGGAGGGCTCAGTAGAAAAATACATTGAAAGAAGTGTTTGATTAATGGAAAGTTGACAGATGGCCAATACATCTACAAT